CCGAGGTCGCGGCTGACCCTCCCGCCCTTCCCCAGGTTTGATCATTTCACTAGAGCGTGCCCCCTTATTTTGGCACGCTGACCACAAAAATCATGGCACACATCAGGTTGGTATTAGTAGGGGTCATCAAGACTTCGGAAGCGTAAGTAACTCTGACCACAAACAACAATCACGCGCACAAACGCGCCGGAAAAACCCGTGCAACGCTCGCAACTGAAAATGCTGCATGAGCTACTTTTCCGTGATTGTCATGTGTGCAACAGCCCATTGATTGAATGGGATGACGAGTTAATGTTGCTGACAGGCGGCATCACATATGTAAACATTGATTTTTCACAATCATGTTCTCGTTATGATATAAAATCATTTTGAAAACACAAAAATCCACCGCTAACCACCGTTATTTGCATGTACATCCAGCAGTTACCTGCAGCTAAAGACAAAAATGGCCGGCACTGGACACAATCCCTCTGCAACCAGCGCCGGTCATTTGTCCCCAGCCGTAGATAACTGCTGGATGTACGAATACAGGCAGATAGCGGTGGATAGTGGCAGATAGCGGCAGACAGCTGCGACTCATGTCATTGCTATGTACAGGCTGAGCGGCCGCAGCTCTCTGGATCCACCTGTGATCCTTGCCGCCAGAATCTGCACCCGGACCTCTTTTACTCATGTTATTTAAATTTTAGTGTTTTGGGGTTTTGTGTTGACCACATTCATTGGTCAGTTTATTTGTTTGTCTTAGGGTACATTTACACTACGGTGTTACGGTGACGCGCGTTTGCTGTTACGCACATTATTTGCATTGGTGTGATGCGGTGGTATGCATCTGAATAATACCCCAATGCACTTCACCGACAGATGTGCATTGCAGTGCAGGTGCATGCACCTATATTTTTTTCAGTGCACAACATATTAGTGTGTTTCTATTGGCAAGGTACATTGGGGTCTTTCAGAACGAATGGCATGGCATCACACCAATGCATTGAACCTTACCATCTTGTCTTGACCTGTATTGTGATTGTAATGTCTTCCTTATATTGTACAGCGCTGCGCAAACTGTTGGCGCTCTATAAATCCTGTATAATAATAATAATAATGTACATTGTAGTAAAGCATATGGGAATGCCGCATTATAGCGATGCAATGTGTGGCTGTTGGTATGACGGAACCAGGTACTTGTTAGTTGTTCAGTCCGGTTATTGATAAAGTAGATCTAAACCCAATCACTAAAATCTCACAAATGTCATTTTAATCTGACCAGGAAGATTCCCCATAATACAGACAGCATTTCTATGAGTCATTTTATAAGGTCCTCATTCACACCAGG